TGATTAAAAAAAAGCATTCCTCCTTTTTTGAAAAGATGGTGATCTTTATGATGAAATCATAGAATTATAGAGTTGGAAAGAACCTTCTAGATCATCTCATCTAATCTCTTACTTGAAACAGGAAATCCAGCATTACAGCACTGCCACCAAATGGCTACCTTTGCTTGAAGAGCTCCAGTAAAGCAAAACTCATTTTGTCATGTCATTGGCTTGATTGCTCAACTATGTTATCTATTAAAGGTTTGTCCAAATGTTGAACTGAATCTTATTCTTACAAATTGAGAATGTTATGTCCTTAGGTACAAAAGAAACATAACCTGGAGCAGCAGTTCTGTGATCATCAGTGAAATGTAAAATGTAAAAAAATCACTTAAAATCATTTAAATTCTTGTGAATTCATTTAATTATGATAAATTGATAAAAATACGAGTGGAAATTTTAAATATTTATCTATTATTTTATTTATTGTTTAATGTTGATGAATTTATGTGATGGAATCAGGTTCTGGAACAATGCTCTGTTGTTGTTTATGCCCATTTGTTAAAAATGATCCAAAACATATTATATAACTTAAAAAAACATTCTCTACTCATAAATCAAAAGAATAACCTTGTGGTATAAAGGCCTATAAGTCTTATCACCATTGTAAATGGATCATATTCTGCCAATTTTGACAAAAAGTTTTCAGATGAACAGGACTATTATGCTGGAATATAGTACAGATTTATTTATTTGTATTTATTTATCAAATTTATTTGCCGCCTATCTGATGGTTCAGGTGACTCTGAGTCACATGATGGAGGAGGTCTTTCCCAGGGAGCAAAGAAGCAGCTCAGACCGGAATCTTTGGCATGCAGGAAGAGAGCCAGGGCAGACCCTCCCTAACCTTTCACAGGATATATGTAATAGTTATGCAGATTTGTGATTTAGTCTGACAAGATTCCTGTCTATAGGTGAACAGTAATAAAGAAACAGACCAATCAGCCTGACCTCAATACCTGGGAAGATTCTGGAAAAGATAATCAAGCAATGAATCAGCAAATATCTAGAGACAAACAAAGTCATTACCAAAAGCCAGCATGGGTTTGTCATAAACAGATCATGCCAGACAAATCTTATTGCATTCTTTGACCAGGTGACAAAATTAGTGGATCAGAGGAATGCTGTAGATATAATTTACTTCAGTAAGGCATTTGATAAAGTAGATCACAACCTACTACTTGGTAAGATAGAAAAATATGGGTTAACAGCATCACCACCAAATGGATTCATAGCTGACTGACCGGCTGTACTCAGCGTGTGGTCCTCAAAGGAACTGCATCTACATGGAGGGAAGTGTGTAGTGGGGTGCCCCAGGGCTCTGTCCTGGGCCCAGTGCTCTTCAACATCTTTATCAATTATTTGGATGAGGGGATAGATGGGAAACTCATCAAATTTGCAGACGACACCAAGCTGGCAGGAATAGCCAACACTCCAGAAGATAGGCTTAAGATAAAGAAGGATCTTGACAGACTTGAACATTGGGCGCTATCTAACAAAACAAAATTCAATAGTGTAAAAAGTAAGGTTCTACATTTAGGTAACAAAAATCAAATACATAGGTATAGTATAGGGGGTACCTTGTTCAATAGTAGTAACTGTGAGAGGGCTCTTAGAGTCCTAGTGGACAATCACCTAAAATATGAGCCAGCAGTGTGCTGCAACTGCCAAAAAAGCCAACACAGTGCTAGGCTCCATTAATAGAGGGATAGAATCAAGATCACGTGAAGTGGTAATACCACTTTACAATACCACTTGGAATACTGCATCCAGTTTTGGTCACTACGATGTAAAAAATATGTTGAGACTCTGGAAAGAGTGCAGAGAAGAGCAACAAAGATGGCTAAAACATATAAGGAACAGTTGCTGGAACTGGGTATGTCTAGTTTAATGAAGAGAAGGGCTAAGGGTGACATGAAAGCAGTGTTCCAATATCTCAGGGGCTGCCACAAAGAAGAGGGAATCAAGCTATTCTCCAAGGCGCCTGAAGGCAGGACAAGAAGCAATGGATGGAAACTAATCAAGGAGAGAAGCAACCTAGAACTAAGGAGAAATTTCCTGACAGTCAGAACAATTAATCAGTGGAACAACCTGCTTCCAGAAGTTGTATATGCTCCAACACTGGAAGTTTTTAAGAAGAGACTGGACAGCCATTTGTCTGAAATGGTGTAGGATTTCCTGCCTGAGCAGGGGGTTGGACTAGATGACCTCCAAGGTCCCTTCCAACTTTACTATTATTATTATTATTATTATTATTATTATTATTATTATTATTATTATTATTATTGTTGTTGTTGTTGTTGTTGTTGTTGTTGTTGTTGTTATTTTTGTTGTTGTTGTTGTTGTTATTTTTGTTGTTGTTGTTGTTGTTGTTGTTGTTGTTATAAACTGCTGTGAAGTAACATCTTGTGTTGTTCTTGGTTCCTTCCACCTAACAATTATCCAGCAGTATTTTATACAATTCTGCAGTGAAAATCAATTACATCTGATAAAAGATGGCTGCAGAATGCTTTTCAGAAAATTCTGATATTGCTAAATACGAAGCAAAAATTCCCAAATGCAAAAGAAGGTGAAATAAATCTTAGGTGATAAATTGAAGCAGCTGAAGAAAGAAAGCAAAAGACAACAGATTCAGGCAGAAATCTCCCCAGATAAAAACTGCGTATAAGAGAAGAAGTTGTATTGAAATAAGCAATGCAAAGAAACTAAGTATAACAATTGAATGGAAAAGATGTCTGAGAAAAATTACAGAAATCAAGAACATTTATGTTAAGATGGACACAATTAGAACAAACAGGGCAAATATCTTTTAAATAAAGCAGATATATTATAAAATATATGGAAGTATACAAAAAGATTGTTAAATATGAAGATTTGATTGCTAAACTAAACCCAGACATTCTGGAACCAGGTATTAAAAAGCAGAACAAACGAACTGTTAACAACAAAAGTGCAGAAATTGATGAAATCAATACCCTTTAAATATTTTGGATGATAATGTAGTTGGAGTGCTGCTTGCAGTTTAGAAAAGTGGGAAAAATCAATACATATTCCAATACCAAAAAAAGGCAGTAGTAAAGAATGCTCAAACTATTAAATAAATAAATCAGAGCTGAAGAAACTTCTTGGATGAGAAGCAAAATGTCTTTAAGAAAACAAGAAAGTCCAGTTGCCTCGTGAAAAAAGCACCTTTGGGATATTAAATAAATACATTTATCTTTTAGACTACCAAGATAGTCTTCAATATTTTGCAATCCAGACTGGAACAATACATAGAATAACAACTGTGCAAGTTTATTCAGAAGAGGCAGAGATATTTGAATGCATATTATTTCCATTTAACAGATAATGAAAAAAGCAAGAGAGTTTAAGAAGACTGTCTTTTTTTTTTTTTTTTTTTTGCTCTACAGGCTTCTGACTATATAGACAACCAAAAATTGTGGCTAGTCCTTAAAAATGTAGGCATATTGAGTCATCTCGTCTGCTTATTGAAAAATGTACATAAGGACCAGGAAGCAATAATTAGTACAGACTATAAAGCAACTGAATGAGTGGCGTGGTGATTCAATGGTGAAGATGCTTGCCTCCCCCTCAGAAGATTGAGAGTTCAATCCTTGATAGTGGCACATGTTTTTCTCCTAAGTGCAAAGAAAAAATATCTGCTGCAAACTCCACGTAGGCATCAGGAAGGGCATTTGGCCAGTAAATGCTCAGCTCCATCCAATCTCCACGACTCTACCCCGAATTAAGGGACTACAGGGTTGTAAAAAGGGGGGGGGTTAAATGAAGCAAATAAATAGTGCAGATTGGAAAAGGTTTGCCTATAGCGTACATTGTCACCTTATTTATTTAATTTAAATGCACCATATAACATAATAAATGTTGGACTAGAAGAAATATAAATTCAAATTAAAATTGCTGGGAGAAACCTCAAAAAGTTCAAAAAGAGATACTAATGATACTATTTGAATGGAAACAGGGAAGAGTTGAAGAATCTCTTGTTGATTCTGCTGCTCAGTATTAAAATGAAAAAAATAAATGTTCTGAAGAGGCAATGCCAATAATATTCAAATAGGTGGAAGAAAGGTTTGCTGGTTGGTTCTTCTGATTTAGAGCTTTAATTTAGATGTGATTTGAGAGGAATTGACGAACTCAAAGCCACCTGAGGGCTTCCCTTGCTTAGAGTGCACCTGAACCTCGTCTCTTCCATTTTTAGTCCCAAACCTTAACCAACTAACAGATTTTATCTTCCTGGACACCAAATGCATAGAGTTGGTAACTAATGACATGAAAAGACATATCTGATACTTCAGAGGAGGACTAGTATTGATTTACAAACAATACTAAACATCACACTATATATTGTCAAAACAATGGTTTTCCTACTTATAACATATCAATGTGAAAACATCAGAATGTCAAACCATCAGAAAAGGCAACCAGAAAAAAAAGTGTGGCGCTGCAATACTGGAGAATATTGTTGAGAAGACCTTGGACTGCAAGAAGAACACAAAAGAATATTCACTGGGTCATGAAGAGATGCAAGAAATTGAATGACTGAACAAAATCAAAACTTATAATATAAAACCAATGTAAGCTTTCTGTATTTATGAAAATGCCAGTCAGCCAGAAAATAGATCATATAGAAAAGGTATAGCTGAAAACCCCTTCTAAATGCTGGTTATCTCCAATTGGTTACCTCCAATTCCACCCCTCATGATATTTAAAATCCAGCATGAAAATCCAGCATGAAAATGAATTTTTGTGAGCTTGAAAGCTTTCTCATGGTTTTGGGACATTTTATTTGAAAATGTATGTGAAAATGGCTGCCCCCTCAATTCCAAGTGATTACTCTAATTAGCTAGTTATAATTTTAATTTTAACGGAAAATAGGCCAGTGGTGCAATATTACTAAGCCAGAGATAATGAATACATTTCAGCTTTTCTCACTGGTTACTTACTGGTTGGTCTGCCCTATTGATTCCAATAAGGAAGAGAAGTTCTGCCACAAACAAGCTGATGCACAAGTTCTTATGGATAGTGTTTCTGTCACTTTGTAGTCCGCGGAAGAAGCAGAAAGTAAAAATGCAGATCAGGAGACAGACAAGGGACAGAAGAATGCCGACCCAAGTGATGACATCCAGTATCAGATCATGGACTGCATCTCCATGCTGCAAATAATTTTAAAAAAAGTCATCAATTATATATCGACCTTCAAAATCTAAGGAAGCTAAGTCTATTTAAGACACTTTGACAGTTTCCATCATTCTCTCACAAATGCATGGTGTGCATATTAACATAATTGCAGATTATGTTAATTGTTTGCTTGCGTTTTCCCCCCTCATTTGTTTTGTTTAAAAATTAGTATCCTGAAGAGCCATCATCTGAATTCTGATCTCAGCTACACAAAGACAATGAACATAAATGACACATATTATAGATTAATAGCATTAGTAAACTAGATCAAATCTGAGCTGCAGTATGAGACTTAAAGCAGGGTTCTTTGCTTTGACAAATTTTTAAATAAAACAAGCTACTTCAAACACAAAGCAACCATGTTGCTTCACATCAGACTGGTTTGAACTCTCTTTAGACTTCACCTACAGAGCTTGCACTATGGGAGAAAACAAAAGGAAGCTATTTTTTGGAAAGTCTGAGAGGAATTTTTGCTGAAAGTTTCTGAGGGTGCAACATCCTCGGTATGTTCTGAAGGTCTGCTAGGTGGACAACTTTGGTCTGTGGAATCCTGAAGTTATCTGGCCTGGAATATTTTCAGTCAGTGCTGCAGAAGAATGCTGAGGGGGTCTTTCTCCAACTGAAACTGGTCTGAAGTACCTAACATTACCTGAGTTATTTCAAAGAAGTAAAGCAGGTTACATTTTCATTTCAGTACAGAAAACTGCATCATCTCCAAGGCAAGAATTGCTTAAATGAAATGAATCTAAAATACTTTGCATAGGCCAATTATAGATCAATATGATATTGGCCCTTAATTAGTTTTGCTTCAAGGGTCCCTATGAGGTTTTTGATTATTCACTGATTATTTTAATAAATTATATTTTTTAATTCTCTGCCTGCAATATTGATGGATCCCGCTGAGATTCTGCCTGAATTGGGGTAGGTTATAAATATAGTTAAATAAATGAATAAATGAAATAAAATATTTAGAGAGAATAATGATTGCATTTTTCATCCTTTCATACTGGCAATGTTTTAAAAGTATGGTGATTTCTTTCAAGAAAATAATATCATGATTCCAACAGATGAAACCCTTCAAAAGAACAGATAAAAGACATCAACAATAAACATCAAAATGAATTTCCACTTTTTAAACTATTAGAGTATAGATTAAATACTATAACGGTATATATAGCAATGATTTAACTATTATAGTATTAGAATATTAAGAAGGCAAAACTAGCAATTTTGAAAATGTTAATTTTAACATAATTGTCAAATATTTTGTATTTGATTTCCAGATGACCACATTATTTTCCTCTGTAGTCATATGTACTGTAGATCAAGGTTATACATCTAATGAAGTTTCCAAGGATAGAAGAAAAACTTATACACCTTTCTCTTTGCTTTTAAAAATTGTTTATCTCAAAAGAACCTATACTTCATGTTTCCTGTAATAGAACTACATTACTTGTTGAAATCCGTAGCTTGAACGTCTAACTTGTATGTCTATATTAGTAAGACAATACAGCAGCCATATGTAGATTGAGTAAGCTTCCCCTCAGCATGAAATCCCTCCACAAGTTTGAATTGAAACAGATGTTGAATGAGTTCAATTAAATTAACTACAATGTTTTCCTTCTCTAATATTCAAAGCAGTCACTTGCCTATCTGCAAGCATAGATACATTTTCATTCCACTCATAATTTAGTGTTCATGTCTTTGAAGCATCATTAGAACTTGAATTCAACTTAATAAAATGTGTTTTTCTCCTTAATACACATAACTTGCTGAAATTCCATAGTATATAATAGGACTGCATGAGGAATTTGTTTAGAAGGGCCCTTCCCAGAGATGCTGGCACAATTATTTTATTGTTCATCTTAGACAGAACGGTTGACTTAATTGTCAGCTTAACGACAAGCCAGGGTGAATAATTCCTTTGTTTTTTGTCTTTAGTTCATATACCTTCTGGATTTTACAGAGAAGCCTTGTTTTGTATACCAAGTTCCCCAGAATTTGTCTATATTAGCGGTGTCAAACTGCTGGCCCGTGGGCTGGTTGCATCATACGGAGGCCACACCCACCCCAGCTCGGGCAATACAAAAAAAGTCGTGATGTCACGTGACGCAGCGAGTTTGACACCTATGGTCTATATCAGTTAACTGTCTGCATCAACATTTTGAGGGATTCATCAGTGGTAGAAACCAATGATAGTGAATATTTTAGTTCCTTCAATTTAGAGATAATCACTATTTATTCTTTCTGCAAGAGAGCTTTATAGAAATTAATTCATCTTTCTTTCTCTGTTTCATTTGTCATCTGTTTCTTCACGTAATGAAATTTTGATGATTAAAATTGCCCTTGAAGAGATTGGGAAATATAGCAGTAGCACTTTTTAATCATGAGTATCTGTAATACAATCAATCCAATAGCACCTAAACTATAAGAGGCATCTCACTGGCACAAGGGGGCAGATACAATCTGAGTATAGTATACATCAAAACCTGCCACCCAAGCAGAGGGGTAGGAAGCAATGGAAGCACATGAAAACATGCAAGTGGTACTCTGACTTGTGAGACTTATAAATAATCTTATGATAAAAGCTCTCCTCATAGTTATCAGCTTTAGATTTGTTAGACATTATATTCCTATCTGAGGTCCATATATATGTAGGTCAAGCACTTCCTTAGTCTTAGGAAATCCTGATAGCATCACTGATTCTAGGACATATCCATAAGGGATCTTTTGCCCCAAATAGACAATTATTCTACATACTGAACGGAAGACCTATGGGAAAAGAGTCACCATCAGAAGGTTTATACACTTTCCTAATATTTCAACTAGCATGCTAGATAATACAATTCTTGAAAGAGGCCATTTCATAAGTATTGGATGAAATGGCACCTACAGGTAATCCCCGAGTTACGAGCGTTCACTTAACACTAGTTCAAAATTATGTGATGAGCGCCCCCTAGTGCTTATGAGCAAGTCCTGAAGTTATGAATATTGCAGCACCATGGCAGTCGTTCGCCCTTACAAGCGATCGCAGTGGACCTGCAACATTCACCTCTCTCCCCACCCCCGCCCCGGGTCTCCCTAGGCACCAGGCCTTCAATACTGACCCTGGAAAGATCAAGATCCTTCGCTTTCTTGGCTGCTCCAAACCTTTGGTCCATTGGCAGAGAATGAAGGCCTAAAATAATGCAAGATCATGCGAAATCAGTGGGGCGAGATCTGATGCTATTGATCTCGCATGATCTCATGGTACTTTAGGCCTCTGTTCTCTGCAACAGAGAACAGAACCGAAGCTGGGGGATGCTTCCGTGCAACCCCCCGTGGCCTGATCCGGGCTCCGGAGGCTTTTTCCAGGCCTGATTGGGCCATGGGGGGCTGCGGAAGCGTTTGCTGGCCTTAAATCCAGGCAGTAGCAGCCTGAAAAAGGCATCTGGAGCCTGGATCGGGCCACGGGGGGGGGTGTGTGTGTCATGGAACTGTGGCAGAGAGGAAACAGATCTTTTCTAGGTGAGTCCGGTGCTACCAGAAGGGAGGGGGATGCATGCGGTATCTTGGTGAGTTGGGGATGCCTTGGGGGCCTGTTCCAACACTAGGCCCTCCATCGCCTTCCCCACCCTGAGATACCTCATGTTCGCTTGACGAGCCATGTGCATTTTAACGAATAAGAGAGTGATCTCATACCTCGAATGAGATTCACTCTAAAAGTTTTTGAATTACGAGTGTAATGGGCAGGCTCAATTACACTCGTAATTTGAGGACTACCTGTATATTCCTCCCTCCCCTGAGAACAAAGAATCTTAAACAATGCAAAGTTATTTTTTAAAAACAAATTGGATAAAAAAGAATATGACTTGAGGTAATTTAGTATCTAAACCATCAAGGAAGATTTACATCAAGGATAATTCTGCAAATCATATAAACACAAAACATGCACTTCATTTCTGGCAGACAGCATATTTATAATACTAGTACACTTTTCAGATTACCACTTTTGAGCGAAAGCTGGATTTTAAATAATACATAACTAGAAAATAGAAACATGGATGGAAATATCACAGTGACCAAATATTATGGTGGTAATGATGTCCAGATGCTGTGTGCCCATGAAGGGATGAACTCAAAACAGTAGAAATACTCCTCCAGGAGACAATTGCATCACCACACACATACAAAATATTAGTATAATATAATATAATATAAGTATCAATTCTACCATTCATTCCCTCCATTAGCATTAGCAGCAATGATCCTATAATTATTTTTGCTAGTAAAACAGCTCTTTCAACGTAATGTTCTGCTTTGTAACTGAGGTATTGCTCAAGTATAGGTCATGACTGTAACACTGTCTTCCATTGGCATAGGAGGGCTTCCACCAAATCCTAAGGTGAAATCCTTTTGGTGAACTTTGAATATACCTTGTCTTATTTCCTTGAACATTTTAAAGTCAATATTCATTTAATTGAATACTAAGATTCAATATGTTAAGCATATCTTCCAGGCAAACAACCTGTACAAAAATACCCAGAATCAGGAGGACTTCCGGTGTGCAGGCGACTTCGTCGGACGCAGCCGACAGCTGCCTCCCACCTTTTTCGCGTAAAAGCCGTTTTGACAGCAAGCATCAGCTGTCAAACGGCTCGATACCCTTCCCCCGGGCATAAGGGGATCGGTGAGCTGCCTGGGGTAGGAGTTGAGTTCCCGAGTCGTCCTTTGTGGATGATGTAGGTTAGAACTCCTCCGGAGCCCCGAGGATTCTCCGCGATCTAGGACGCCTTCGCTTTGGCGAAGCTAGAAGCCGCCGCCACCGCTGCAACTTAAATTGAACTGTGAGTTATTATATGCAGACAAACCGACCCTGGAAGTCTGTTTTTTATTTTGGATATTACTCTAACTTGGAATATTTTGATCTTCCCCATACTTGGGGTGGATTGAGTGAAAGTGAACTTAAAATGGCGTTGGAATGAAACTTTTTAGC